GGTTTACGGTGACCTTGTAGTCTCCACATAGCCTGACTGTTCCATCCTGTTTCATCACTGTGACGATGGGTGATGCCCACTCACTGCTGGTGACTGGAACCAAGATTCCCTCATTCACCAGCCTGTCCAGCTCCTCAGTGACCTTGGTTCTGAGAGCGTAGGGCACACTGCGGGGCTTGAAGAAGCCTGGTGTTGCTCCCTCTTTCAGCTTAACCTCTACCTTGAAGGATTTGATGGGCCCCTTACCTTTCAGAAACACTTCTGGGTACTGCTTCTGTATATCACCCTTTTCCACCATATTCATGGTGGCAAACGACTTCCAGTCCAGTCTGAAGACCTTGAGCCAGTCTCGACCCATCAGGTTGGGACGTCGGCTGTCCACATCCACCACCAGCAGACTCACGGTGTGTTCCTGCTCCTGGTACTTTGCTGTCACAGTCATTTTCCCCACCACAGGGATAGGGGAACCCGCAAAGCCTGTCAGGGTCACATCTGTGGGCTCCAGGGTGGCCCCTCGGGCTCCAGGGTGGCTAAACCTTTTATTGGGTCGAAAATGACAGAACATGACATCCCTCTGACGTCATTTGTGACTAACCTTTTATAAGAGCTCTGGAAAAATTTGGTCACAAGGTGTAAAAATGATGCCCGGAGGAGTCTTGAAAGTTTGGTGGCCACATTTGCTATACTTTAGGAGATATCGACTGAAAAGGAGAGAGGGGGCCGTTTCGCGCCGCCCTCCCCCCTCTCAACGGTGCTTTCAGTTGCTGCTCTCACAGAACTATTGGTTATATTACAACGTAGTGGAATTGCAAGTGGCAATATAAGCTTCCTGCCAGCGCCGGACCAGAGTTTACACATGCAGGCTGAAGTTTAACATTTAACTTTTGAATTTTTAAATCGTTGAGCTGAGAAGGTTTTGAGAAGTGGATAATCCCAATCCACGTCCCAGTGGCTGCTCGATCGCACTTTCCCTGGCCCACCTCTCCCACCAGGCTAGACTTTGCCCGGCACAGCCGTCGCCTCAGTGCCTCGGGCGGTGACCCGTTCAAAGGGGCTCACAATTCGTATGGTGCCGTGGCTCTCAAACCAATACAGAACAGTGAAACGCAAAGGCTCACTTTCCATATAAGGCGAACGGCTGATTCTGGCGCCGGGGCTTCATTCATGCTAAGGCGCCCAATCACAGCGCCGCATTTCAGTTAGTGTCGGGCGCAAAAGCTACTATGCTCCGCCCCTCCATCACGTGACCCTGCCCTCACGTGGCCTCAGTCGCGTGGTGTTTCCACTTCTTGGCGCATGGCGGCGCTAGTCTCGCAGGGGCGGTGGTAGCTTGCTCCCCCGCCGTCCGGGGGTGATGGGTAGCAACTGCTGGTGACTGTACGTATGCGGTCCCTTACGGCGCAGGACGATGCCCGGTACTCACGTCACACGCTGGTCGCTGCGACAATTCCGCACGAACACAGGCTGCCGCGCTGTGAATTCGCGCAGCTTCATGTCCTTTCCATCATGACTTGCTTTCTGTTGCTCCTGCATCTTCTCCACTTGAGCCTTCAAATTGGGCTTGAGTAGGGACAGACGCGTCCTCGGCGCTCGGCGAAGAAACAGTTCCGCCGGCGTTTTTCCAGTGACTGTGTGTGGCGTGTTTCGGTACGCGAACAGGAAACTGTCCACTTGGTGTCGAAGCGTTCTCTTCTCCCCCGACACTTCGTTTTTCAGCAGGTTTTCCTTCAGCGTACGGACGCAACGCTCCACCTGACCATTCGACGCGCTGTGATATGGCGGCGTCCTCTTGTGCTTCACTCCATTCCTTTTCAGGAAGTCGCTGAACTCCGACGACGTGAACGTCGGTCCATTATCAGTGACAACAACCTCCGGAACCCCGAAACGTGCGAAGAGGCTGCGGAGTGCTTCGACCGTTCGCGCTGTCTTGATGTCCGCCATCAGGAAGACTTCTAGCCATTTTGAATGACCGTCTACTACCAAGAGGAATTGCTGACCTCCTTTCTCAGCAAAATCCAGATGCACTCTTTCCCACACACGTTCTGGCCATTCCCAGGGTATCAGCGGTGCTGCGGTCGGGTCTTGTCGGACGGCCTGACATGCGCAGCAGCTCTTCACTTCCGCATCGATGTCAGCATCAAGCCCCGGCCACCAGAGGTAGCTTCTCGCAAGGGCTTTCATCCGACCGATACCCGGATGCTCCTGATGCAGGTCCTGGAGAAGCCGCTGTCTGAACTTCGGCGGGATTATCACTCGTCTTCCCCACAGGAGGCATCCATCTTCTACAGACAGTTCCTCTCTTCTTGTGAAGAACGGCTGGATGTCGTCCGTGATGTCGTCATGCCAGCCCGACATGACGTACTCGCTCACCTTACCAAGCGTCAGACTCAGATCCCGTCTGGTTTCTTCTTTGATTTCTTGTGCTGTCAGCGGGAGCTCCTCGACAACGGAGAACACCGGCTCTTCTTCCATTTGATCCGGGTCTTCAATGTTGTCCCTGTTTGTCACCAGCCGAGACAGCGCATCAGCGTTGCCGTGTAGATCCGATCGTCGATATTCGATCTTGTAGCTGTACGCCGCCAGCATGAGTGCCCAACGTTGCATTCTTGCCGCGGCGAGGGGCGGCACTGCCGTATGCGGCCCCAGGAGACTGGTCAGCGCCTGGTGATCTGTGACCAGGGTGAACAGCCGTCCATACAGGTACTGATGGAACTTCTTTAGTCCGAACATGATACTCAGTCCCTCTCGTTCCACTTGTGCATAGTTGCGTTCGGTGGAAGTCATAGTCCTTGACGCGAAGGCGATTGGTCGTTCCGATCCGTCGCTCATGACGTGAGATATGACCGCTCCCAGTCCGTATGATGAGGCGTCACAACTGAGCTTGATGGGCTTCTCTTCGTCATAGTGCACCAGCACGTCATCTTCACTCAGTGCTGACTTCAGCTGTTGGAACACCTTCTCGCAGGCTGGAGTCCAGTTCCAGCGTGCCTCTTTCTGCAGCAGCTGGTTCAGCGGCTGCAGCTGCGTCGAGAGGTTTGGCAAAAACCTCCTGTAGAAGTTGATGATGCCCAACATGCTCTGCAGCTCCTTGACGTCGTCCGGCCTCTTCATGTTCCTGATGGCCTGGATCTTTTCTTCTGTGGGATGGATTCCATCCGCCGTGATCCTGTGTCCCAGATAGTCGAGCTCCGTCTTGAACATCTCACACTTTGCACCATTTAGGTGGATGTTGTACTTCTCCAGGCGCTCCATCACTTGGCTGAGGTCTCTGCGGTGCTCCTCCACTGATGAACTGGCCACCAGAATATCGTCGAGATACACCAGTACCCCATCCAGTCCTTGAAGGGCCTGGTCCATCACCTTCTGGAACAACTCTGGTGCCTGGGCTACACCATATGGCAGGCGTTGAGGCTGTAGGAGACCTCTCGGTGTGTTGATCACCAGCAGGCGCTTCGATGCTTCTGAGAGCTCACACTGCAGGTAAGCCTGAGACAAGTCCAACTTAGAGAACACTTTGCCCTTGATTTTTGCAAAGAGGTCCTGGACCGTGGGCAACGGGTAAGTGCCCACCTCAGCCCACCGGTTTACGGTGACCTTGTAGTCTCCACATAGCCTGACTGTTCCATCCTGTTTCATCACTGTGACGATGGGTGATGCCCACTCACTGCTGGTGACTGGAACCAAGATTCCCTCATTCACCAGCCTGTCCAGCTCCTCAGTGACCTTGGTTCTGAGAGCGTAGGGCACACTGCGGGGCTTGAAGAAGCCTGGTGTTGCTCCCTCTTTCAGCTTAACCTCTACCTTGAAGGATTTGATGGGCCCCTTACCTTTCAGAAACACTTCTGGGTACTGCTTCTGTATATCACCCTTTTCCACCATATTCATGGTGGCAAACGACTTCCAGTCCAGTCTGAAGACCTTGAGCCAGTCTCGACCCATCAGGTTGGGACGTCGGCTGTCCACATCCACCACCAGCAGACTCACGGTGTGTTCCTGCTCCTGGTACTTTGCTGTCACAGTCATTTTCCCCACCACAGGGATAGGGGAACCCGCAAAGCCTGTCAGGGTCACATCTGTGGGCTCCAGGGTGGCCCCTCGGGCTCCAGGGTGGCTAAACCTTTTATTGGGTCGAAAATGACAGAACATGACATCCCTCTGACGTCATTTGTGACTAACCTTTTATAAGAGCTCTGGAAAAATTTGGTCACAAGGTGTAAAAATGATGCCCGGAGGAGTCTTGAAAGTTTGGTGGCCACATTTGCTATACTTTAGGAGATATCGACTGAAAAGGAGAGAGGGGGCCGTTTCGCGCCGCCCTCCCCCCTCTCAACGGTGCTTTCAGTTGCTGCTCTCACAGAACTATTGGTTATATTACAACGTAGTGGAATTGCAAGTGGCAATATAAGCTTCCTGCCAGCGCCGGACCAGAGTTTACACATGCAGGCTGAAGTTTAACATTTAACTTTTGAATTTTTAAATCGTTGAGCTGAGAAGGTTTTGAGAAGTGGATAATCCCAATCCACGTCCCAGTGGCTGCTCGATCGCACTTTCCCTGGCCCACCTCTCCCACCAGGCTAGACTTTGCCCGGCACAGCCGTCGCCTCAGTGCCTCGGGCGGTGACCCGTTCAAAGGGGCTCACAATTCGTATGGTGCCGTGGCTCTCAAACCAATACAGAACAGTGAAACGCAAAGGCTCACTTTCCATATAAGGCGAACGGCTGATTCTGGCGCCGGGGCTTCATTCATGCTAAGGCGCCCAATCACAGCGCCGCATTTCAGTTAGTGTCGGGCGCAAAAGCTACTATGCTCCGCCCCTCCATCACGTGACCCTGCCCTCACGTGGCCTCAGTCGCGTGGTGTTTCCACTTCTTGGCGCATGGCGGCGCTAGTCTCGCAGGGGCGGTGGTAGCTTGCTCCCCCGCCGTCCGGGGGTGATGGGTAGCAACTGCTGGTGACTGTACGTATGCGGTCCCTTACGGCGCAGGACGATGCCCGGTACTCACGTCACACGCTGGTCGCTGCGACAATTCCGCACGAACACAGGCTGCCGCGCTGTGAATTCGCGCAGCTTCATGTCCTTTCCATCATGACTTGCTTTCTGTTGCTCCTGCATCTTCTCCACTTGAGCCTTCAAATTGGGCTTGAGTAGGGACAGACGCGTCCTCGGCGCTCGGCGAAGAAACAGTTCCGCCGGCGTTTTTCCAGTGACTGTGTGTGGCGTGTTTCGGTACGCGAACAGGAAACTGTCCACTTGGTGTCGAAGCGTTCTCTTCTCCCCCGACACTTCGTTTTTCAGCAGGTTTTCCTTCAGCGTACGGACGCAACGCTCCACCTGACCATTCGACGCGCTGTGATATGGCGGCGTCCTCTTGTGCTTCACTCCATTCCTTTTCAGGAAGTCGCTGAACTCCGACGACGTGAACGTCGGTCCATTATCAGTGACAACAACCTCCGGAACCCCGAAACGTGCGAAGAGGCTGCGGAGTGCTTCGACCGTTCGCGCTGTCTTGATGTCCGCCATCAGGAAGACTTCTAGCCATTTTGAATGACCGTCTACTACCAAGAGGAATTGCTGACCTCCTTTCTCAGCAAAATCCAGATGCACTCTTTCCCACACACGTTCTGGCCATTCCCAGGGTATCAGCGGTGCTGCGGTCGGGTCTTGTCGGACGGCCTGACATGCGCAGCAGCTCTTCACTTCCGCATCGATGTCAGCATCAAGCCCCGGCCACCAGAGGTAGCTTCTCGCAAGGGCTTTCATCCGACCGATACCCGGATGCTCCTGATGCAGGTCCTGGAGAAGCCGCTGTCTGAACTTCGGCGGGATTATCACTCGTCTTCCCCACAGGAGGCATCCATCTTCTACAGACAGTTCCTCTCTTCTTGTGAAGAACGGCTGGATGTCGTCCGTGATGTCGTCATGCCAGCCCGACATGACGTACTCGCTCACCTTACCAAGCGTCAGACTCAGATCCCGTCTGGTTTCTTCTTTGATTTCTTGTGCTGTCAGCGGGAGCTCCTCGACAACGGAGAACACCGGCTCTTCTTCCATTTGATCCGGGTCTTCAATGTTGTCCCTGTTTGTCACCAGCCGAGACAGCGCATCAGCGTTGCCGTGTAGATCCGATCGTCGATATTCGATCTTGTAGCTGTACGCCGCCAGCATGAGTGCCCAACGTTGCATTCTTGCCGCGGCGAGGGGCGGCACTGCCGTATGCGGCCCCAGGAGACTGGTCAGCGCCTGGTGATCTGTGACCAGGGTGAACAGCCGTCCATACAGGTACTGATGGAACTTCTTTAGTCCGAACATGATACTCAGTCCCTCTCGTTCCACTTGTGCATAGTTGCGTTCGGTGGAAGTCATAGTCCTTGACGCGAAGGCGATTGGTCGTTCCGATCCGTCGCTCATGACGTGAGATATGACCGCTCCCAGTCCGTATGATGAGGCGTCACAACTGAGCTTGATGGGCTTCTCTTCGTCATAGTGCACCAGCACGTCATCTTCACTCAGTGCTGACTTCAGCTGTTGGAACACCTTCTCGCAGGCTGGAGTCCAGTTCCAGCGTGCCTCTTTCTGCAGCAGCTGGTTCAGCGGCTGCAGCTGCGTCGAGAGGTTTGGCAAAAACCTCCTGTAGAAGTTGATGATGCCCAACATGCTCTGCAGCTCCTTGACGTCGTCCGGCCTCTTCATGTTCCTGATGGCCTGGATCTTTTCTTCTGTGGGATGGATTCCATCCGCCGTGATCCTGTGTCCCAGATAGTCGAGCTCCGTCTTGAACATCTCACACTTTGCACCATTTAGGTGGATGTTGTACTTCTCCAGGCGCTCCATCACTTGGCTGAGGTCTCTGCGGTGCTCCTCCACTGATGAACTGGCCACCAGAATATCGTCGAGATACACCAGTACCCCATCCAGTCCTTGAAGGGCCTGGTCCATCACCTTCTGGAACAACTCTGGTGCCTGGGCTACACCATATGGCAGGCGTTGAGGCTGTAGGAGACCTCTCGGTGTGTTGATCACCAGCAGGCGCTTCGATGCTTCTGAGAGCTCACACTGCAGGTAAGCCTGAGACAAGTCCAACTTAGAGAACACTTTGCCCTTGATTTTTGCAAAGAGGTCCTGGACCGTGGGCAACGGGTAAGTGCCCACCTCAGCCCACCGGTTTACGGTGACCTTGTAGTCTCCACATAGCCTGACTGTTCCATCCTGTTTCATCACTGTGACGATGGGTGATGCCCACTCACTGCTGGTGACTGGAACCAAGATTCCCTCATTCACCAGCCTGTCCAGCTCCTCAGTGACCTTGGTTCTGAGAGCGTAGGGCACACTGCGGGGCTTGAAGAAGCCTGGTGTTGCTCCCTCTTTCAGCTTAACCTCTACCTTGAAGGATTTGATGGGCCCCTTACCTTTCAGAAACACTTCTGGGTACTGCTTCTGTATATCACCCTTTTCCACCATATTCATGGTGGCAAACGACTTCCAGTCCAGTCTGAAGACCTTGAGCCAGTCTCGACCCATCAGGTTGGGACGTCGGCTGTCCACATCCACCACCAGCAGACTCACGGTGTGTTCCTGCTCCTGGTACTTTGCTGTCACAGTCATTTTCCCCACCACAGGGATAGGGGAACCCGCAAAGCCTGTCAGGGTCACATCTGTGGGCTCCAGGGTGGCCCCTCGGAACACCTCATCAAAGACATGCTTGGTCATGACAGTTTGGGCAGCCCCTGTGTCCACCTGCAAGCTGACAGGTTTGTCATTCAGCCACATCTTAACTTCATAGGGATTTGCACCCACATCATCCATGCTGTACAGTTCGTACATCCCATTGTTCGGTTTGGATGGTCCTTTTGGTTGCTTTTTTGGGGTAGCAGACTCGGATGCTCCCTGTTTGGTTCTGCACTTTTTTGCCACATGCCCCTTTAGGTTGCACTTGTAGCACACTGCATTTCGGAATTTACATTGTGCTGCCTGGTGTGTGGTACCACCACAGCGATAGCAAGGGCCTGCACTTTGGTTCTCCCTCTTACTCGAATGGGCTTGTCCCCCAGTTCTTACCATGTGCACTTCTGGTCCTGGGCCATGCAGATCTCTGGCTTGCTGGGCAGCTGACTCCATCCCCAGGGCGATCTCTCCTGCTCTTGAGAATGACAGCTCATTGGGTTCTGCCAGCAACTTCTTTTGGATGGATGGATCCTTTAGCCCACAGACCAGCCTATCTCGTAGTGCCTGATCCAAGAAGTTGCCAAAATCACAGCTGCTTGACAACTTTCGCAGTGCCAGCATGAAAGCCGCAATGTCCTCTCCCTCACCCTGAGCTCTACTATGGAATCTGAATCTCTCCGCAATTACCAGTGGTTGCGGGCTCAGGTGCTTCTGCAGCACTGTTATCAACTCATCTAGTGTTTTCTCACTTGGTTTGGAGGGTGACACCAGATCTCTTACAATTCCATAAGTTTTCGGACCGATCACAGCAAGGCTATATAAACCAGGTAGAACGCTCCGGGAAAAAAGTTGGAAACAATAAATTAGTTGCGGCATTCCCTGATGACGCGAATGTGGGTCAGCGGCCGGCGGCCGGCCGCCGCTAACACTGTATGAGGAGGGATGCGCGGAACTTTTGCTTGTTGGTGATTGCGCTAGGCAGTAAAATGGTAATGTTAGGATATGTTTCGAAAGTAAATTGAACGACGCTTCGAACGCCGTCAATGAATTTGCGATACGACGACTATTTGTTTAGTTAGAGGCGGCGAACTTTTACCTTCCGACCGCGCGCGGAGGCGATATGGTGCCACACTGGCGGTTTTTACGATAGCTCAAAATTCTTTTGAGATAAAGAGATGAAATTTGACATGTCCTATCTTTTGATCAAGCTGGATCTTATGGTACAAGTCGCATATTTAAGGTAGGTCAGGTTGTTGACCTATGTTGTCGCTCGTGAGCCTCTGCACAGTCCAAAAACAACGCAATTTCTGAACACTCAGTGCCAAGAAATCCTTCACAGAAAGATGACACTTGGCAGAAAGAAGAGTTCTGAGTTGTCGGTTTCTTACCGTTCGTATGTGTCGTGTTTTCACAAGAGTTTAGTAAGGTCAGGTCCGTCACGTGACCTCCCCTCATAACTCAATAGGTTTACTATCATAGAAGCGTTTATCAATCGCCGGAAATCTTAGCCAATCCCACTGGACACTGGACACTGGATCCATACCCACATGGGGCCCTCCTGACTGGCCACTCCCTCTTAAATCCACAATAACATTGGGCTGCGGCCACGGTTATGTATTAAAGGGACCCTCCCACCTTAACATTAATTTTGAGTTGAGATAGCCAAGTTTGCGGCCAGGCTCAGAAACCACCATTTATTCTGGTCGCAACCCCCGCAGCTTTATGGTGTTCAAGAAATTTCTTCCCTTTACTTGCAGGGTGGGACCAGCGTGGTCCCTATCTCTTAACCATTACGGGAGTCTGATGACGTCATCAGGCTTTCGAACGTCCGTTAAATGTTTGACTAAAACGTTTTGCAGCACGCGGTGGTATATGCTGCTTTGCGCGCAACAAATGCCGCACTTTCAAATAAAGTCGCTAGGAACAGCGGAGATCCCAAAAAGTAAACAAAAGTAAAAGTCTAATATCTTGAAAACCGGTGAATATTTTTCGATGAAATTTGGTAGATATTCGTTTTTGCTCTTTCTGAACCGAGCGACATCACTTTCATGCCAATTCATTAACTTTTTTGAAGGTGGGAGGGTCCCTTTAATGCTTTTCACTAACAGAAATACAACTTCAACCAGCACAGTGCACGCCGCCACAACAGTCCGACCCACGTCCCTGATATCGACTAGCTCCCGGCCGGATGCACATACGCGGAGCCAATCAGTCCGAATGTGACCTGCAGCTTACAATTGCTGTGTCGCATGGCGCATGGCACAGGACGATTCCTAGCAGCTGTCGGCTGGAGTGGAGAAACAGCACGTTGCGACACACCGCGCCGGCGATTGAGCTCAGCAGGGCTGGTTGGAGGCTGGAGCCGGAGGTAAGGGCGGACACAGGCACAGACATTGCAGGACAAATAACAGGATGTCAGTTAGGGATATAATTCAAGACGAATGATTCAAGACGGACTGAAATAATACACATTTTGCTCACTTGGATACCAATTACAAACTTGACGTTTATGTATAGCACCATGGAAACAATGGGCACACAGGAAAGAAACAAAAGATGAGGGTTTTTTAACTCAAGGGAGTAAAACAGCCCGAAGTGCAGACAAGCACATACTTTTGGTAATAGCTATCAGCTGTCCTACTCCTCTTCTCCCTTCATCAACTACTGGACACATTTGAAGCATCATATATAGCACCAATGTCCATAACCAAAGCTTGCAAGTAGTTTTAACTTCTATGAAGCCAAGGGAAATGTGCCTACATTATGCATGTAAACTCAAAATTACACATGCATGACAAAGGAAGCTTATGTAAAGAGAATAGTTGACAAAAGCATCTCATGGTTAAAATTATTCAAAACTGCACACAGGGCAGCAAGTGTACTGTTCTGTTATGCTAAGAAATAGTCCAAAACAAAATACAATCTTTTCATGTTTGAACTGGTTGTTCTTCTATGCCCCTTCACCCATATCTTGATTACAGATGGGCTGTTACTGTAGGCTGATGAAGTGACACTTGATTGCCTTTGTGCGAGTTTCAGTTGCAGCCTCCTTGGTACTGCACTGGAAGGCAGATTGAATTGAATGCCTCTGAAAGATAGGAATACAGGCAAAGTTAGCTGTAGTAGTGTCAATGATAATAGACATGACATTTTTGTCCTTTGACATACATTTGTTGAAGTACAAAAAGGTACAAAATAAATTGGTTTGTTTCAAGACACGCACGCTGCACAAAGCCGCACAGACATTAAACACTAAACAGGCATATGAAATTGGTACACATAAAAATTGATGATTAAAAAGGTCAAAACTTGCAATAATAATTGAAGTAAAAGTTACAATCACAATCATTTGATTTAAAATGACTTGACATAAGTCACAAGACGCAACGCTCCTATTCTTTTATGCTTTCATTATCCTCCACATATCAACCAGCTTGATACCAGGCTGTGCAACAGTGTGTACATAACCCCATGTTGCCATTTTATTAGAGCAAGTGGGGTTACAACAACAATGCTAATGTCAAACCCACATCTGCAACCCGTACTGCAGTTTCAATCACCTTACAAGCACACCTTCTGGCAGTTTGATAGGCAGAATGGTCATTACTACTTTCCCCTCATATTCAACACATATTCCCTTTATACAGATACAGTTTAAACCTAGTTATGGCAAGCACTTTCGAGAAAAGATATGATTAAAGTCCAAGACAAAGGTCGAGAGAAACAACACCAACATAAAACACCGACTATGTAGCACTAATACTGTCAAATTCATAAAAATATATGCATGAGTCGATCAGAAATTCACTGTAGATTTCGAAAATGGTGTCAAATGCCACTCAAATGCCCCTATTCGCATGTACGAAGCAATAAAACACTGACCTTCAATTCCGCGTGCCATTCTCCATAGGCCACTGTGTATTAAATAACGCGTTCACTGATAGCAAAAAAAGAGACCCACATATGACGCGTTTGCTACCAGCCAATCAGCGCTCGAGTTACCGAGCGCTGATTGGTGGAGAGGGCCGTCGTCAGCAGCTAATTACATGTTGTTTTCCTTGAACATATGCGTGAGCGCTGATGCTGCTCACGGGCTGTTGCCATTTTTCGTAATGCTGAAGGCACGGGAGCGAACCCCCCTGGATCACAGCCAGAAAGGCCTCTTTTTGCAAGTTTTCTTCCACTTTAGCCACTCTGAACGATAGCCGCAGGCGCTCCACATATGTCTCAAAACTTTCTTGGGCCTCATTGAAGTGCCCCACTGCAGTTAAAAGAGCTCCTAGGTCTCCTGACATCTTTTCCAAATTTGATGTCTACTGCAAATTCACAATTTATCTCATTCTTCGTCGCCAGTGTAGTGGTTTGCGCCCTCCTGGCTAGACTCGTGGTTTCCACGCGAGTTGTTTATTATTCTCCCGCCAAAAGACAACGACAATCTCGGCGCACTTGGCGACCTAAAATGCTGCAATATGCTGCAATACAGTACATGGTCAAAGAATTTTTGAAAATCAGCCGGTAACAACGTGAGTTATGACTTATGAGTGTGTAAACACAAAATTGTGATTGCCGCGTTTCCCGCGTCGGCCGATCCCGCTTCAGCCGGCGACATCTTACCCTTAGCAGGCTTCTAACTGCCATATTTGTCGTTGGATTATCTAGAAATTCACCATACATACTCAAAAATGTTCGTTCTTTCGTGTAGTGAAAGAAAAAAGAAAATCGGCCGGTAACTTTTTGAGTTATTGCCGTGTAAACGCAAAAAAGTCGCTCATATGGCAGATTTGACCACATTTGACCTCATTTGACCTTAAAGATATTGACCTAGCTGTCCTAGGGTCATGAAATTCACACACAACAGAGTTCCCCATTGCCCTCACCTACCCTCCAAATTCCGTCTTTCTAGCTCCAGTGGGAGCTGAGATCTTAGGGGGGGGGCGACATTTGCCCCCCTTCCACTGGGCGTAGTACTCGCAAGTCGCAACCCTTCCACTGCGCGTGTTAAAAAATCGAAATAGGTAACATAATAACATTTGACCTTTGACGATCTTCGTAACGTCATGGACCTGGACGAGTAAGCATCCAGCATTCATATACTCTGCAAGTTGCAGTTGATGGTTGATCGCTTTTTCTTTGCCTTTCTGTTAACACTTCAATGACGATTGACGGGTGATAGCTGCGCTGCCACCTACCGACCGAGGAGGGCCTGACGACAGCTGTGCTGCCACCTACCGACCGAGGAGGGCCTGACGACAGCTGTGCTGCCACCTACCGATCGAGGAGCCCGGCGACAGCTGTGCTGCCACCAACCGACCGAGGAATGACTGGTGACGCCTGTGCTACCACCTAATGGTGATACGGGGTGTCAGGGGTCCACGTTCCAACCGAGAACTCATATAACATTAGGGAGCAGCGCCCCGCGGTCGGCTCGAAGCATGTGAGTTGCTGAGTGATGATATTCAGCCACACTAGCCGGTGGCTTCTGGATAAAGAATATCAGCCCAAGCACCATGAGCGCACATTCTTTCCGGGCGGGGAGAGCCGGAAAGGAGGCCGCTTACTGATTGCTGGAAAGGGTCAGAGCCATCGGGGGAAGCATATCCCAAAAGACTGATGACTTCCCCTCCGGAGTCACCGTTTAAACAAAACTGGACAGCCCTCTATACCGGGGCACTCCTATGCTAACGACGTGGAGCTCAGCCGCTGCGACACACCGGGCGGAGGCCGAATCAGCCGAATTTTCCCCCACCCTCTCATCCCTTGGCCGTTGCAACATCACCGTCCGAGCTATACGGTCTGTCAAACCCAACTGGTCTACCTGATTAGAAATATCGAACTTCATTCAGCGACCAAGGCCCTGTTTCACGACACGCCGCTAGTCCTCATGAGCGCTAATGCGCTTTCTGTTTCCATGGAAATATCAGCAAATTTCATTGTTGAATATACGACTTTCCTTATTTTTTTTTTTTGCTACAGTTTTATGGAGCTTTTATGCTTAAAATGCAGCTCTAGCGAGCGCTGGTGGCGTTCAGTGAAACAGGGCCCAGTTTGCATTTCTAGCCGTGAGTTGCATCTCCTTTAGGTGGGCCCTCTCACAGTGACGTGGCATTTTGGTGCTGCCAGACGCTCGTGCTGATGCAACACAGCTTCTACGTGATTCTGTCAGCGCCACAGGTGAAGACGCGCCAGTCATATTGTTCCGATAAAAACTCCCGATAGGTCACCTCAGCGGTCGACACATGCTGATTACTGGTATCGTGCACGTAAGCTTGCGGGCACTGATCCGGAACAGGCGTGAACTCGGAAAGGCCTCGAATAGTGGCCGGTCAGCGTAGCTCAGACACCCTTTAGAGGGGGTGCACGGTCTACATTGAAATAGTCAGTGTCCTTAATTCCGTCTTTCCTTGTGGAATCTTTTGCTGCCTATGAGGTTGACAAGAATACTTTTCGAGCCAATGAACTAAACTGAACTAAAAGCCAGGGCCGGCAAATAAATTCGCATCATTTAAAAATATTAGATGTTATAAGACCCAGCCTGTAGGACAAAGTAAGACCTCTGACTAGACGGCCATGAACAAGGGGAGGTGAGCACTGAGCAGCCATTAGCGCGAGGAAAAGACATCTGTATAAACGGCGCAATGTATAGCACGTACAGGTCGCACTTAATTAGGGACATCATATTGAATCACGGTCATCGGTGTGGCGAACATCAAACTGGAGGGCATTATCAATAATTACGCATCAAACGTTTACCAACAGCAGCTGATAACACATGCACGGTGCAATAATACCTCAGCCCTCACTGTTCACAGCTCACAAGTCACGAAAGCAGCCTTGCTGCCCACCCCATATACAACCAATGTCAAAAAAGAAGCAAAGTGAGGTAAGAAATGTTGAGGAGCAGGAAATCATCTACCCCAACATGAATCCCTCAAGTACTCTCACCCATAGTATAGTAGAAAATTATAGACATACCTCACCTTAGCCCGACTCTCGGCAGCACGCAGCGGACCACTGATGGGTATAATTGGCCGACTGCCGAGAAGTACCAGCGTACAGAGTACCGCAAGTCAGCCATACCACGAGCGGGCCGAGCTGCACACTCGCACGGCTCGCAAGGACCTGGAACCACGCGATCGTCCCCCAGCGGCCGCACCGCAAGGCATATTCGATAACAAGCTCAGGCGCGGTAACTGGAGCGGTTATAGGCAGCACCACGGGGCACGGGCGCCACTATGGCATCGCTGCACCGGTCAGCCGATCCCAGCGCGCGGCGCTGGCTGAACACGTCCTGCGGCCACTCAGCACGGCCGTGAACCCTCCGTCTCGAGCTACACCCAGTCCCGCGGGTTCTTCAGCACCTCGGTGAGACGCTCCTCGGGAGAGCCGGGCTTGGGCGCGTGCATGTACTCCCAGCGGGCCGTCAGCGGCAGCGACATCAGGATGCTCTCGTAGCGCGCTCCGGGCGTGAAGAGGCCGAACTTGGTGCCGCGGTCGTAGATGAGGTTGAACTCGACGTAGCGTCCGCGGCGCAGCAGCTGCCACTGGCGTTCGGCGTACCCGTAACCGTCGTCCTTGTGCTTCTGCAGGATGGGAAGGTAGGAGGGCAGCACCGCCTCGGCGCACGACTCCACGAACAGGAACGCCTCCTCCTTGCTGGGCGTGTCGACGTCGTCGAAGAAGATACCGCCGACGCCGCGCCTCTCGCCGCGATGCTTCACCATGAAGTAGTTATCACACCAGGTCTTGAAGCGGCGATAGTAGCCGGGGTCGTGCTTGTCACAGGCACGTTTCAGGGTCGAGTGGAAGTGCTTGGCGTCCTCCTCATTGAGGTAGTACGGCGTGAGGTCGGTGCCGCCGCCGAACCACCAGCCCATCGGCTTGCCGTCCTCGGACTGCACCTCGAAGTAGCGGTAGTTGAAGTGGATGGTGGGCACGTATGGGTTGGTCGGGTGGATCACCGAGCTCACGCCGGCCGCAAAGAACGGCAGCTTGATGCCGTCAGGCAGGTGTTTGCCGCGTGCGTTCATCTGTGCCACGGCCGGCGGCGGGAGCGAGCCATGCACCACCGAGATGTTGACACCAGCCTTCTCAAACACCTGCCCGTCCTGCAGTACGCACGAGATGCCGCCGCCGCCCTCTTTGCGCCGCCAGCGGTCGACGCGAAACTTGGCGCCGCTCGTCTCCTCAGCCTCAAGGGCGTGGCAGAACTCTGCCTGGATACGCAGGATCAGCAGCTCCATGCGGATCTTCATGTCCTCTCGCTCCCGCTGCATCTTGTCCAGGTCAGTGATGGGCTTTGCCATGAACTTGTCTGTCTGAATGGGTCGCAATGCCCGTGCCGCCTCTGCCTCAGTGACCCGACTGAGGCCATATCCTAATGCTGCAGAACCAGCCACCAAATACGTGAATGCTTTCTGGTTGGACTTGCTCTTTATGAACCAGAGCCCAGAAGCGATAGCTGCACGTGCTGGACCATTTAGCACCCACATGTGGCCAACCATCTTTTCTGATGATCTTTTACCAGGACTGCTGAAAGCATAAAAACATTCCAATGTAAGCTATCCTCCTTTCAAATACAGTAGAATCCGCTACCGCTTAATAAATCCTCGGATAATAAACCCAGCCGCTTATCGTGGCCAATTGCCCACTTGAGCTGTTCACAGACTTCTCTATAGAAGCATATCTGACTCTGGTTACTAAAGCTACCTCTTAATAAATCCAAAATGTCATGTCACCAAGGTGGATTTATTAAGGGGATTCCACTGTAGATGGAAAGCAGACTGCAACCAGACTGGAAAACATCCTTACACTACGGTCTACGCCGGACGCCCGTGAGACCCTCATGCGCTGAATTTCGGCGAAAGCCCTTTTGCGCTGAAATTTCTGCCTGATTTGTGCTGAAAGTTGGGTGCCTATTTGTGCCAAAATTAAGCCACTTTTATTTAAAGCACTTGTGCACATCTACCGACCAAGACCATATCAACCAGACAGAGCGTTCCGGGGCCTTGGACGCTCTTCCATGTTTGAGTGTTTGGATTAATTGATTAAATTAATTGAATCAATTGATTAAAGGAAAAGGGCCACCTTCGTGAAATATGAAGATATCGTTGTTTTTCATTTTGACATTATTATTTTTCATTTTCTTTTTAAAACTGGTGCCAGAAGTGCACAATTCGCGAAAAAGTATTTAAAACTATTTAACATATTTGTACTATGTTGATACTCTCTACGGCACCTACTGTATGATGGCATAGCAATGACGTCACACTCAAGCCAATCAGCGTTCAGAAGACAGACTCGTCGGATTGTGTCAGATAAGCTGATTGGTTAAAGCTGAGCTGATTGGAGCTGATTGGTAAAAAACCAAAGCCTCGCCGCGGGTGGCTGTATTACAGGGTAAGGACGCATTCCTGGGATAAGGACGCATTCCTCTTTTAACCCGCGCACCGACGGGGGGGGCGGATATCCGCCCCCCCCCCTGAGGTTTTTCGCGAATAGCGGAAAAACCGCGGCGCGTAGCGCCGCGAAATTTGGTATGACTATTCCCATATCAATTTTACACTTGGTGTGCAAGTTTGAGCCTCCTACCTTTCAAGGTCAGGTCACCAGGTCACTTTGAATGACCCAACCTCAAGTCACTTTTTTGCAACTTTGTCACCGTGCCAGAGCTACAGTAGATGTCGGAGGCCTTTGAAAGTCGCAGGATGTTATTAGGTCATTAGTAGCTACAATTTGTATATCTCGGAATTTTGATATCGGTGACCTAAGGTCAGGTCAATTTCGCGACCTCCCCATTATAAGTCAATGGGGGAAAAATCAACTCCCTGTTTTTACCACTAAAACGGGTCGGAATGGCCCCATATACCATACATGACTTCATATACGATCAACCTTCACTACCTTGAGGTCTGTTTTGCTGTTGGGCAGCTGTGAGGTCATGTGACGTCATCAAAGGTCACCAAAGGTTTTTGGCCAATAACTCCGTACAGGAACAAGATACAGACGCGTGGATGGTCTCATTGTGTTCAGCTCGTCAAGACGCATCGAATGATATACATGATGACCTCGAGGTCACGTGACCTGAGGTCAACCTTTGACCTTGAACTTTCGAGGTCAACATATATATCATTCGATGCGGATGGACGAGAGGATCACGATGATGCCCTTAGTTTGTTCCTATCTTGACTAATTCGAAAGTTATTCGAGAAAAACTCTCTCCATATTTAGCGCCGCCATTTTGACTTTTTCGACCCCTGTGACGTCATCTTTGACCTGACCTGAAAATGACCTTAGTAAAAATTGTAGATCTTGACCGTGCGTATCCGATGCCGTTTACCGCTTGTCGCTATCTTGCTTCGTTCTCGAGATCTCAGGGGGGGGGGCGGTCATCCGCCCCCCCCCCCCGTCGGTACTAAGTTGGCGCAGACCCCCGTCGGTGCGCGGGTTAAAAATGCCGATACCTACGAATGGAAGCCGAAATCGGCCGTAAGGAGATAGACTGGAGGGTTTTCGGACACGGGCTACAAGATGGCTATCTCAGTTTCAATCCCCATGTTAAAGGTGGCCCTTTCCTTTAATTGAATCAGGTGATCCAATACTACCATACGCGTAGCCAGCATAGCGCATGGCCACAAAAAGCGGCGTAGCAGTGTGTTCGAGGCTGGCAGGCGCCAGCGAGGGCCGGGCAGCGGAGCAGCATGTGCTCCGGCACTGGGCACATCAGCGGTCAGCCTCTTCTCTGCACACGGCGCAAAGCGCCGCCGGGCACCGCTTGTCCGGGCACTGCTGGCACGCCGCGGACTGCGGAGGGGAGATGGCCAATTCGATCCACGTACTGGAGCGAGCGGGCCCAGTAGCCCGCCCTCATCTGGTGCACCGAAACGGCGACGGCGTTCTCTCGGTCCTCTCCGGGGATGGGGAGACGGGAGTGGCAGCGTGCTTGCTAAGAGTGGCTTGAATGGTAACTCGGAAGAGTTGTCGCGCCATTTGACGCGAGGCCGCACAATGAACCGCCCGGTCCAGCAAGCGGGCGTCCGAGGGCAGGGCGGTCGCTCGTTTCGCCAGGTCGTCGGCACTCTCATTTCCTTCGATCCTGCAGTGGGCAGGAACTTGGGCAGGAACCCACTGCAGGACTACTTCGCATTGCTTGGCAATGTTCAACAAGGTCTTCCATACCTATCCTCATCCCAAACCTCTTCAGAGCCGACCACAGGGCGAATCTGCTGCTAGATTGACCAATGTGCCGAAAAATTTGGTGACCGCCAGTAGCCAAAAAGTTATGCGGCCGCCCTGCCCTGAAAAATTCAGCGGCCACCATGCGCTGAATTCAGCGTATACGAAATAAGGCTGGACATGCACCAAAACTTTGGGCACAATTCTGCCACTATGCCTGACATATGTGGCATAATGTGTATTCTACTTAGTCTGGAGTGACATGGGGTCTCACAGGTGTCTAGGTTACCTAGTGTATGGATGTTTTCCAGTTTCACTGCAATGTTTTGGTGAAGTGTCAATCAGTCAGTATATCTTTTACAAATTGTCCAATGAAATTATACTTTTCATTTTGCTAAGATTTACCAACTAATCAAAACCTGAATGAGCAGTAGGTAGGTAGCGGCGTAGCAGTGTGTTCGAATTGAATTTAATCTTGCAGATGGGTGGCGACTCTGACTCCCTGATACAACTTCAGTCGGGGGAGGTTTGGTCAATCGTTGTCATTTTTAGCACATGCCATTTTTGGCAACCATGTGCTAAAAATGACAACGCTATCAGCTATTTTTAGCAACGATGAAGCCGATTTCACTCATCAGCGAGGAAATCACGATTTTGGAAATACAAGCACTGATTTTGGAAAAGAAGTGCTGCCACCTGGTGCAAGAAGAAGAAACCAGCTTTAATATGGCCGTTGTTTGTATGGTAGTCCAACGTTGAAGTATACCCTTTTTTGTGGCCCGAAGTTGGAACTTTAAATTGAAGCATCCGAAAATGATCGATATTGATCGAAATCATGATGTTGATGAAAAAAATAATATGTTAAGTTGAGAGAGGAGGCCATTTTATCCAGATGCGGTGGTTTACTTCTTGAAATTATTTTTGCTTACGACGACTGCCATGTAATGAGGCCAGGGATAATTAGCAGCCGTCATTAGCAAAAATAATTTCAAGAAGTAAACTACTGCATCTGGATAAAATGGCCTCCTCTCTCAACTTAAAATACTATTTTTTCATCAACATCATGTTTTCGATCAATATCGATCATTTTCGGATGCTTCAATTTTAAGTTCCAACTTCAGGCCACAAAACAAACTACCATACAAATATAACGGGCATATTAAAGCTGGCTTCTTCGTCTTGCACCAGGTGGCAGCACTTCTTTTCCAAAATCAGTGTTTATCTTTCCAAAATCTTGATTTCCTCGCTGAGGAGTGAAATCGGCCTCATCGTTGTCAAAAATAGCAGAATCGTTGTCATTTTTAGCACGTGTGACAAAAATAGCACGTGCTAAAAATGACAACGATTGACCAAACCTCCCCCGACTGACTTGAACTGAGAATTGACCGATAATAACTAAGATTCACTTGAATTTGCAAATAAATGCATAACATGATAACCCCCACCTTGACCTCTCAAAAGGCTTGCCGGCTCACACCTGTCCGTCTCTACCTATCTCTACCTATCTGTAAGAATCTTGACCTATCTTTCTTACCACTTACACTTAGCCACTTACAGTGCTCAAGGCCATACGTTATGTTTGTCAAGACGTTTTTTTTTTTTACAAATTTCTCAAAACATTTCGGTGGTTGTAGGCTTGTGCTTCCAAACCAACAACCTTTATTTCGTACACTGGAAAATACTTTATTTATCGTTTATATGAACCATAAATATAAATACTATCAGTTCTTCGCTTTTTTTGTTCAGTTTCGCACATTTGAATTTTTCTCATAAATATAATTAGATTTGAATATTTTGCTAAAAAATCTGCCAGAAGCGGTATATAATTGTTAGATAATTTAGGCAAATTTTCGGCAATTAGGTAATTTGTTCTACCGAACACGAGGCATAAAACACGCAACAAAGACGAAAAAAGCGTACTACATTCTAGTGATGATGTTCAATATTGAATTCGCTTGTTTGCCATTGGTGAAAAGCCAAAAGGCAAACGCGTTGCAATAGCAAGAGTTTCGACAACATTTTGCTTAAATAAAGGCTCAAATATGCCTTTGCCTGTGCTAAATGATGATCAGAGAATCTTTTATTCGATGTCAAATTATGCTGAAAATGAGTTTTTAATGCTGGTTTCATCTACACGTGTTTTAAATCGACGCGGCGTGATTTTCGGCATTGCAGCTTATTGCGAATGATACTCTAGTAGAACATGAGTCCTTATGTTCAATAACCTACACAAGCTCGTGCATAAGTGGGTCACGACCTTGGTCACGACTTAATTTATTTATTCAAGTATTTTCTGCCTAATGGGAACGTGTTTTTAATTTTGAAGCATTTTTTGCTAAATTGCAAAACAAAGGTAGGCATATTTGTCTTTATTTGAATTATTAGTTGTTCATTCCCTTCAAGTTTTTTTTTCTGTTAGTAGGTGCCTAGGTATTTTTTTTCCACTTTCAGTTTTCAAGTAATATGCTCTGAAACTGAAACAATGAATTGACAAAAACGTAGAAGTGCTAGCAAACATTGCCTAGCATGAGTACTTTTATGGCCAGTACCTACAACCTACAAACCTACAACCTAAAAACCTAGGTACAACCTCAACCTACAAACCAACAGCGCCTCTCCTCAGTTGGAAAACCTTTATGTGGTGTCTGCTCTACTAATGCCAAAGCTTGTTGGTGTTTTTCTTTGCAATTTACCTCTCGTTCTGCAGTCTTCTCACTTTGGTAGTCGTGAAGCAAGTGTCACACTTCAACTTGTTTTTTTGCAACTTTACCAAGGAGAGGCACTTTACCTCAAGATGCTTTCTAATCAAACCAAACCAAACCTAACCAAACCTGACCTAACCTTACCTACAACCTAAAACCTACAACTTACAGCCTACCACCTAGAACCTATGGTATTTGTTTGGAAAAGGTCCAATCTACAATTGTGGTGCCATTAACCCGCGCACCGACGGGGGTCTGCGCCAACTTCGCACCGACGGGGGGGCGGATGACCGCCCCCCCCCCTGAGATCTCGAGAACGAAGCAAGATAGCGACAAGCGGTACACGGCATCGGATATGCACGGTCAAGATCTACAATTTTTACTAAGGTCATTTTCAGGTCAGGTCAAAGATGACGTCACAGGGGTCAAAAAAGTCAAAATGGCGGCGCTAGATAATGAGAGTTTTTCTCGAATAACTTTCGAATTAGTCAAGATAGGAACAAACTAAGGGCATCATCGTGATCCTCTCGTCAATCAGCATCGAATGATATATATGTTGACCTCGAAAGGTCAAGGTCAAAGGTTGACCTCAGGTCACGTGACCTCGAGGTCATCATGTATATCTTTCGATGCGTCTTGACGAGCTGAACACAATGAGACCATCCACGCGGCTGTATCTTGTTCCTGTACGGAGTTATTGGCCAAAAACCTGTGGTGACCTTTGATGACGTCACATGACCTCACAGCTGCCCAACAGCAAAACAGACCTCAAGGTAGTGAAGGTTGATCGTATATAAAGTCATGTATGGTATATGGGGCCATTCCGACCCGTTTTAGTGGTAAAAATAGGGAGTTGATTTTTCCCCCATTGACTTATAATGGGGAGGTCGCGAAATTGACCTAACCTTAGGTCACCGATATCAAAATTCTGAGATATACAAATTGTAGCTACTAATGACCTAATAACATCCTGCGACTTTCAAAGGTCTCCGACGTCTACTGTAGCTCTGGCACGGTGACAAAGTTGCAAAAAAGTGACTTGAGGTTGGGTTATTCAAAGTGACCTGGTGACCTGACCTTAAAAGGTAGGAGGTTCAAACTTGCACACCATGTGTAAAATTGATGAGGGAATAGTCATACCAAATTTCGCGGCGCTACGCGCCGCGGTTTTCCCGCTATTCGCGAAAAACCTCAGGGGGGGGGGCGGATATCCGCCCCCCCGTCGGTGCGCGGGTTAATATGAATGTGCAACAGCATAATTTGTACGGCCGTTTAAGGTTGTATAATTGTAAAGCATCCATGACAGTTGGATAACGACAACTCAAGAAACTCAAGATTACAAAACAATATTTATTTTTTAATTACTTTTAAATACACAAAGCTTTCGGTCACATATGACCTTGATCACTGCATTTAACAATGTTAATTGTGAAGCACAGTGATCTAGAAAATAAAAAAAGTAATTTAAAAAATATCGTTTCTTAATCTTGAGTTTCTTGAGTTGTCGTTATCCCCCTTAAAGGGACCCTCCCACCTTCAAAAAAGTTTATGAATTGGCATGAAAGTGATGTCGCTCGGTTCAGAAAGAGCAAAAACGAATATCTACCAAATTTCACCGAAAAATATTCACCGGTTTTCAAGATATTAGACTTTTACTTTTGTTTACTTTTTTTGTGATCTCCGCTGTTTCTAGCGACTTTATTTTAGAAGTGCGGCGTTTGCGGCAGATGTTGCGCGCAAATAGCATACACCACCGCGTGCTACAAAACGTTTTAGTCAAACATTTAAAAATCGTTAGATATCTGCGCTGACGTCACACATTCAGAGGGGTATTCCTAAGCATTAGCCCCTCTGAATCAAAATGCTGCAATTTTGAAATTCAATATTTCCGATTTAAGGCATTTCTCGATGTTGTGAGTGCCGAAACCGGTAATTGTGAGCCAGGGACCCCATTTTGGCTATCTCAACTCAAATCTAATGTTAAGGTGGGAGGGTCCCTTTAACCCTCGCCGGACCTATTGGTTTTCTACATACGCGCCGGCCGAGGGGGGGCGGGTACGACCCCCCTCGCCGTTTCGCCCCTGGTGGAGCTAGCGCGTCGCGGAAAAAACGAGCGTGTGCGCCGTTACGAGACGCAAAGATTGGTACCCGATTTTAAGGTCCTAGGTCAACCGGTGACCTCTGAGGTCAGGTCAAGTGCCCCAAGGTACGGTTCAGTTTTTGGTGAATAACTTCGCAGAAAACGGCCGCAGAGCCGCGATTTTGGCAGCATCGTGTTCGCCTCGCTCCGGCGCGTCGAATGATATACTTATTGTCCGGGTCAGGTCAACTTGGGGTGTTGACCTCAGGTCAAGGTCAGGTCAGCACCCCCAGGTCACGAAGTTGGTCGAAGGAGGTCATATCGCATATCATTCGATTCGGCAGGTCTTCCTGAGTCCATTGGTGGCTTTCCCGACTCGCTAGCTCAATTTGATCAAGAGTTATTGACGAAAAACTAATATGACCTTGATGACGTCATAAATGACGTCATGCAAGGTCAACATTGCAAAAGTGACGCATCTAACCTTGCAAGGAGTGCATCAAATCACGATTCTGTGTGCTTGAGATAGTTGGAGATCGTTCCCGGCGCCAGAATAGCAGTTTTCATTTTTCTCCATTGACTTATAATGGTGATGTCACGAAAATGACCTGACCTCATATGACCTTTAGGAAAAATCCGAGATATACAAGTTGTGAGACTCATAATGGATACTAGATCCTGCAAGTTTCATTTCCCCGTGACATCTCCTCTGGCAGTGAGGGCGTTGCGAAGTTGCGACATCTGAAGACTGTGCAGAGGTTGGGCTATTCATAGCCCCCCCCCCTCCTAACTCCGAAACTACTGGGCCGATCGTCAAAATTCAAACGGCATCTGATAGCCCCGGAAAAACTGTCGCGTGAAACCTAATTTCATTGACCTCGAGGTCACCGATGACGTCACAGGTCAGGTCAAAGTAAAAATTATCGATATTTGGCTTGTTCACATTTTGGGAGCTGGCTGCCGTCTTACAAGTCAGATCAGGCTGAGTTTTGGTTTACGCACTCGTGAACAGATGCTTTAGATACCCTGAGGGTACCAAACTTGTACTTTGATTTTCAGGTCAGGGTCAGGTCATCATAGGTGACAGAAATCTTATGTCAGAAGTCGGTCACGTGACACATGTTTTATGGTCCATTTAGGCCATAGATTTCGAATTCGGTGTCGCCTGTGTCATTTGAGGCCATTTTCATCTGAATATAGCTGAGGTCAGGTCACTTTCAGGTCAAAAAAGGTCAAATTTTAAAGTTGAAATTTTTGAATAAAAAAACATGTCTATCGGATGCAGTTTGAGCTCAGCAACACAATGGTGCTATTTATATTGATGTGCGATGTCAAATTCGTACAGAAAAAATTGATTTGAAAAAATTAAAATTGTGAAATTTTTGCTATAATGCGTATAACTTGGCCATTTTTGAAGATATCTGGCTAAAACTTGCTAGAGAAAGTCATAAGCATGCGTTCTATCATATATATTCCGGTTTTTTTTCGAAAAGTCAAAAAGTTTTTGAAAAAATGTAAAAATACAAATTTTGAATTTTGATATTACTTATTTTCAAAATTTTCAAAATATTAAAAATTCAAGATAGCAGTTTGATAGCGCAGTCCATTCTGAGTCCTCTCATGCAAAGAAATTGGATCTAGCTCAAAAACTGAGCTCTTGGGAGCGATTCCCGTGGTTCAATGTTTTGCGTCGAAATCGGCCGAACATGACGTCACTCTGACGTCATTTCCGGCCGACCTATGATAGATACGAAGTTCAAATGTTGACACAAGGTGTCAAATTGATGCAGCCGAAGGTACTGAAAGTTTGGCGGCGATACGTCAAGCGTTTTAGAAGTTATTGCAGAAAACCGGGAGGGGCTATGAATAGCCCCCCCCCCCCCCAGTGTGGCGCTGGTTAAGGTTGTATGTTTTTAGATTTTAGGTAAGGTTAGGTTGTAGGTTTTAGGTTGTAGCTTGGCTGGTTTGTAGGTTGGCTGTTTTGTAGGTTGTATCTCTTTTTGTATCTCTTTGAGTTTATCTTGAGCATGATGCATCACAATCTATACCTACCATCCTTGTAATTTCCAAATCTGTTGATATGTGACATTGGG